CCTGGTCCCCCTTTGCTTGTGTCTTCCAACTCCATTGGCCCAGGATGGCTGGGGGGCCGGTGGCGCCAGGCTGCAGCCGCTGCCTCCAGGGAGCTCAGAGCGTGCTGGAGGGTCTGAAACACATCAGGGGCCCCAGTCCCAGGGGGCACAGTCTCTTTGTACTGTAGGGCTGCTTCTGGGGCCTGGTAGGCTTCCACTGCAGGTTTGTGGGGCACCTCGGGGGCTGAGGCCAGTCCCCTGCCAGAGCCCCCATCCGTCTTCTTGTCGGTCCTGTGGACACCAACTCAGGCACTTGAGTCGCTCCATGCTGGGCAGGGAATTCTTTTTTATTTTTTGAGACAGAATCTCACTCTGTTGCCCAGGCTGGAGTGCAGTGGTGCAATCTCAGCTCACTGCAACCTCCACCTCCTGGGTTCAAGTGATTCTCCTGCCTCAGTCCCCCAAGTAGCTGGGATTACAGGTGCCCACCACCACGCCCGGCTAATTTTTGTATTTTTAGTAGAGACACGGTTTCACCATGTTGGCCAGGCTGATGTCAAACTCCTGACCTCAGGTGATTCGCCCGACTTGGCCTCCCAAAGTTCTGCGATAACAGGCATGGGCCACAACGCCCAGCCCAGGGCAGGGAATTCTTAGGGCTTAAACTTCATGGTCTTCGGGAGGTGTGAGCGGGGCAGAGAGTTGGCAAGAGCTGTGTGTTCTGGGACTTGCATCCCAGGGAGAGACTGGGAGGCTGGGAATTCAGGGAAGAGGCTGGACAGAGGGTGGTGGAGAAGTTGGAGGGGAGACCTGGGGCTACGAAGCAGAGTGAATAGTAAGTTGGACTGTGACGGGCACTGGGAAAGTCCTGAAGGTGAGAGACAGAAGATTCTGGAAATAGGGTCTTCTGGGGCAGCGACTCACACTTGTAATCCCAGCACTTTCGGAGGCCGAAGTGGGGGGATCACCTGAGGTCAGGAGTTCAAGACCAACCTGGCTAATGTGGCAAGACCCTGTCTCACTAAAAATACAAAAATTAGCTGGGTGTGGTGGCACACACCTGTAATCCCAGCTACTCGGGAAGCTGAGGCTCCCGCTTGAACCCAGGAGGAAGAGGTTGCTGTGAGTGGAGATTGTGCCACTGCACTGCAGCCTGGGTGACAGAGCAAGACTCAAAAAAAAAAGAAAGTCAGGCTGAAGGCAACAGGGAGCTATGGTAGGTGTGTGAGCAGAGAGGGCACATCAGCAGATCTGCAGATGGCAAAGATGCATCTGGACTGGAATGAAGGGCACAGACCAAGGGGGTCTCACCTGCTTCCTAGGCCTTGGCCACTGACCTCCTCCATGGGGCCCAGCTGTTCCAGCCCGGAGCTCACTGGAGGTGGGGCAAAGCTGAGCTTGGAGCTCCCACTGGCTGCCTCAACCTCCTCTGAACTCTCAGCCACGGGGTCCAGTTCACCCTGCAAATGACCCCCGTGGCCCCGCTCTGAGCCAGGCAGGACGGGACCTTGGGGTCCCCAGGAGCTGGGTGTGGAGGGGAGAGGGCGACACTTACGGGTGGAGCATGCCTCCCTCGCCGGCTTCGGGGCCGCGTGGCCCGGGCACTCATTGCTGTCCAGAAGCCAGTGCCCTCTGAATGCTTCTCCTTCGTCAACCCCTAAAACCACAGCCTGCCGTGACCTCTTGCCTTTGTTGTCCTGGACAAGGGACAACCTCAATTTCCTCTGCTGTGAAATGGGACATTGACTACCCCTCAGGAAGGGATTTTGTGATCAATGTTGATTGGGCACATTTGAATGCCTCCCTGGACAGGCAGCTCACTACCTAACAAGGTTGTCTGGATCTCCCCCTTCTTCTCTGCCTTCTTTACCTTCACTACGTCTTTGTCCCCTTCCCTCCTCTATTTGAGCCTGGGAATGCAATCTCAATAATTCCCTCTCCTCCGCGGCCCTCCTAAATGACGGGTTCAGCTCTCTCTACCTCTCTGATCTTCTGGGGGTAACTTGATCAGAGGCCTGAGTCCCTGGACACCGTCTTGGGGTCACTCTGGCCACTGCCTGGTCAGGCCTGGGCTGGCCAAGCCTGGCCTGGGAGGGACCAGGAAACAGGAAACCCCCTCCCCTGGTCATGTGACTTGTTATTGTGTTGTTTCCTTTTTGAGGACAGCAGCTTCCTGCAGCCCTAGCGGGGCACACATACCTGACTCCCAAGGTTTCAGCCCCTCCTCGTCTCAGCCTCCAAGCCCATGGCCCTTCTAGCTCTGACTCTTGGATTTTATTTCTCAAGATCTAGAATGGGCCGAGCACCATGGCTCACGCCTGTAATCCCAGGACTCTGGGAAGCTGAGGAAGGCAGATCGCTTGAGCCCAAGAGTTTAAGACAAGCCTGGGCAACATGGCAAGACCCCCGTCTCTACATAAAATATAAAAATTAGCCACGAGTGGTGGCATATGCCTGTAGTCCCAGCTACTCGGGAGGCTGAGGTGGGAGGATTGCTTAACACCTGGAAGTTGAGGCTGCAGTGAGCCATGGTCACGCCACTGCACTCCAGTCTGGGTAACAAGGCAACACCCTGTCTCAAAAAGAAAGAAAAAAAAAGAGCTAGAATGTTCCCCTGAGCTGATATGGCTTTTATTTGGCTCCCCTGTGAACTCTTCTTCTCTGCCTATCTCTTCACTGTGGGCTGACAGTTCTCTTCTCGCTCTGTCGCCCAGGCTGGAGTGCAGTGGTGCGATATTGGCTCACTGCAACCTTTGCCTCCCGGGTTCATACCATTCTCCTGCCTCAGCTTCCCGAGTAGCTGGGACTACAGGCACCCGCCACCACGCCCACCTAATTTTTTTGTATTTTTAGTAGAGACGGGGTTTCGCCGTGTTAGCCAGGATGGTCTCGATCTTCCGACCTCGTGATCCACCCGCCTCGGCCTCCCAAAGTGCTGGGATTACAGGCGTGAGCCACCACGCCCGGACATGAGCCACCGCGCCCGGCCGGGTTCAAGCAATTCTTCTGCCTCAGCCTTCCGAGTAGCTGTGATTACAGGTGTGCACCACCACACCCGGATAATTTTTTGTAATTTTAGTAGAGACAGGATTTCACCATATTGGCCAGGCTGATCTCCAACTCTTAACCTCGTGATCCGCCCACCTCAGCCTCCCAAAATGCTGTGATTACAAGTGTGAGCCACTGCCCCCAACCCCTCAGTTTTTTTTTTTTAAGGGTCAAAGAAGCCTGCCACATTGGCCAGGCTCTAATTCGAGAATAGCCGGAGGGGCTGTGTAAAGGTGATCTTTGAAGGATGAAGAACTTGCCAGAAAAGCAACAGGAGGAACAGCATTCCAGGCAGAAGGAACTGCCTGGACAAAGGCTTAGAGCCTTCAAAGAGCTGCTCTAGGCGACAGACCTCTGGGCGACACAGAGAGGTTCCTTCTCAAAAAACCAAAACCAAAACCAAAAACCAACAAGAAGGTCGGGTGCGATGGCTCACGCCTGTAATCCCAGCACTTTGGGAGGCCGAGGCGGGCAGATCACGAGGTCAGGAGATCCAGACCAACCTGGCTAACATGGTGAAACCCCCGTCTCTACTAAAAATACAAAAAAATTAGGCAGGCGTGGTGGCGGGCGCCTGTAGTCCCAGCTTCTCCGGAGACTGAGGCAGGAGAATGGCGTGAGCCCGGGAGGCGGCGGAGCTTGCAGTGAGTCGAGATCGCGCCACTGCACTCCAACCTGGGCGACAGAACGAGACTCCGTCTCAAATAGATAAATAGATAGATAGATAGATAGATAAATAAATAAATAAATAAATAGTTGTGGGGCTAAGGGGAAGTGTGCACTAAGACAACGGCGGCCTGGGCGACAGAGTGAGACTCCGTCTGAAAAAAAAAAAAAAAAAAAGGAAGGCTGGTTTAGCCTGAGCGGTGGTCCTCGCCTGTAGTCCCAGCTACTTGAGAGATCGCTTAGCTGTAGTGACTAGCCAGGATCGCGTGACTGCAGTCTAGTTTGGGCGACAGAGCGATACCCTGTCTCTAAAAATAAGAAAGAAAAAAGCCATGAAAAAGGAGGCAGGCTTGAAATAGGCCTGACTTAGCTTCCCTCCACCTACAGTGACCCAATAAGACCAGAGTAAGTATTTTTTGATTCATGCAAATATATGTAAAATAAGGAGCAGGAATTAAGTAGTTGGGAGGGGTCCTGGATGTTTAGGCCACGCCCACATGGGAATAGCTGCCTCACACAGAGGCTCAGACCAGCTTCACCAATCACCAATCAGCTCCTCCTCTTTCCCTAAATCGGCCTTCGTCGTCCCTCTTAGCCTATCACATTGCAAACTCCACCTGTAGTCCACGTTTTAGCCTATCAGGGTAGAAGCACTGGCGCTGTCGCACTCCAAACCCCACCCCCTAGCCCAGTATTAGCCTATCAGCTTCCAAGTCCTTCCTAGCCGCAACTAGTTTCTGTCTCCGCTTGTTCTGCGACCCGCTGAACTACATTTCCCAGGAGGCGTCGGGGCTGCGCCGCACAACTTCCGGCTGTAAAGATGGCGGCTTCCTAGAGAGTCGGCGGCTGATTTAGAAGGCGGCTCAGGCTACGGTGAGCCGAAGTTGGGTGGTGAAAGCGTGCGGGGCCTGTTCCTAGGGGCCCAGCTCCCTTTGCCCCGAGAGATCCAGCTCCTAGCCTTTCCTGGGGCTTCCGCCTTTATTTCTGGTTTCTCCTGCAGTCTAGCCTCCATCCTTCTTGCTGTCACTAAAGCTTTGTTTTCGTTAGAGGCGTGGGGACTGCAAGGCGCTCAAAGACCATCTTGGGAAGCCCGTGCCTATTGCCCAGATAGACAGACTGTTCCATTCGTGTCCTGTTTCTCTCCAAGAGGAACCACAGTCCTAATATTTTGCTTCTCCCTCATGCAGACACCCGCTAGGCACGAGGGTGTCCTAGAGGTTATTATTCCTTTATTCACCAAGACGTTTTCAGTTTTAGGTAACAGAAAACCCTACTCAATGTGGCTTAAGGAAGAAAAGGAAGTTAGTGGCTTATAGATTGGGTCTAATAGGAGCTGGGTCCAGGTGGTCAGAATTCGATCAGCAGTTTTCTGGGTAGAGACCATTTCGCTTTTTACTTTAGAGGCAAAAGGGGCCCCTCGCAGCTCTCAGCTTTATTCTCCCAGCTTTGCAACTCTAATGGGAGTCTCTTTTCCTTGATGGCAGTGTTAGAAGTTGCAGAGTTGCCACTCAATGGCCTGATTTGGGTCATGTGCCCATCCCCGAGCCATTTTCAGTGGCCACAGAGCTGGGATGTGCTCACTGGCCGAGTAGGGGCATGAGGCTAGCACTACGTTAAAAAAAAAAAAAAAGAGGAAAAAAGAGGGGGGACTGTTATCTTATGTCAGAGTGACTGCTCGGCTGATAGGTGTAAAAGGCACTCGTTCTACAGCTGAGGAAACAGACTCCCTAAGAGGAGTGACTCATCATCAGTAAGCGGCTCAGGGCCCCTCTTCCTTCTTAGTCAGCAAATTTTTTTTTTTTTTTTGAGACAGTTTCACTCTTGTCGCCCAGGGTGGAGTGCATGGCGGGATTTCAGCTCACTGCAACCACCCCTCCCAGGTTCAATTGATTCTCCTGCCTTAGCCTCCCGAGTAGCTGGGATTACACGCATGCACCACCACGCCTGGCTAATTTTGTATTTTTAGTAGAGATGGGATTTCTCCATGTTGGTGAGGCTGGTCTCGAACTTCCAACCTCAGGTGATCCGCCTGCCTCGGCCTCCCAAAGTGCTAGGATTACAGGCGTGAGCCACCATGCCTGACCATAACCAAATGTTTTTAAAACTCCCAAGGGGAGGATTCTGGCTTCCCCTGTCCGTGTTCCATCTAGCCACACAGGAGCCATGGAAGTGGCGGAGCCCAGCAGCCCCACTGAAGAGGAGGAGGAGGAAGAGGAGCACGCAGCAGAGCCTCGGCCCCGCACTCGCTCCAATCCTGAAGGGGCTGAGGACCGGGCGGTGGGGGCACAGGCCAGCGTGGGCAGCCGCAGCGAGGGTGAGGGTGAGGCCGCCAGTGCTGATGATGGGAGCCCCAACACTTCAGGAGCCGGCCCTAAGTCCTGGCAAGTGCCCCCGCCAGCCCCTGAGGTCCAAATTCGGACACCAAGGGTCAACTGTCCAGAGAAGGTGGTAAGTAGAAGGGGTGGCCTGGGGCTCTAAAATGCTAGGAAACCTAGCATCTTGTCTTTTGGGATTCACTCTGCAGACATTCCCTTTGTATTAGTTACCTGTGGCTGCCACATGTCACCATGGACTTGGTAGCTTTCTTTTTTTTTTTTTTTGAGACGGAGTCTTGCTCTGTCACCCAGGCTAGCGTGCAGTGGCCGGATCTCAGCTCACTGCAAGCTC